CATCAGGCTGAGAAGGAAGACACAACAAAACCAGATATCACTGAATAAATTGAAAAAAAGAATCTTTTTCCCCTGGTATCAAAATGGATTTATTTTCTTACAGAATTCAATTTCCTCCTGTAAATGAAAATTGACGTGATGACACTGGATAAATGTAACTCATGAATATTACTAGACTGTGCTATAGCGTTTCAGGATTCGATTTTTACCATTATTGGTAAATAGCAGGATAAAGATCAGCAGTTACAGGAATCTTTTTTTGTTGAGCTCTCAGGGAAAGTCTCTTTAGAATCCAGTACATCAATATTCTTTGAGTTTCGATGCAAATAGCGCCAAGAACAAAAAAGTACAAAACAGTGAATGAAAAAGGAAATAATTGGTGTACATAAACAATTAAATAATACGTGTGAAATTAAAGGTACATTCCAATTAATTTGAAAAGTTTTGGCCTGATTATTATGATATATTTTTGCATGCTCAAATATGTATAGGTTTTGCATTAAAAAAAAATTATTTTGCCGAATGCTGGTCCATAAGCCGGCCTCCTTAGCAACGCCCCCTCACTCCAGAAAAATACTTCCTCATCAATGTATGTACACAACTCAGCCAGTGAAAATGATCTGAACTACAAAACAACCTGCAGAAAGAGAAGGGGAGGACACCTAGTGAGACCTATAGGAAGGATATTACTATCTGTTTATAGTTTATCTGACTGTCTGCAGCCAGGCTGTGAATTGGAAGCCACGCAGTGCTGTCAGTGGCTGAACTGTGTACATACATTTGATAAGGAGGTCTTCCTGACATGAGGGGGTGTGGCTGTGGAGCCAGGCTTATGGAGTAGCATTCTGCAAAATATCTATTTTTTGTGCAAAAACTATAAAGATTTGAGCATGCAAAAATACAGCATATTAATGAGGCCAAAATGTATCAAATGCATTAAAGTTGCATGGTGCTGGAGTGTCCATTTAAGGAAATCTTTAGGCAGGTAATGTTAATGACACACACCAAGGAATTAACATTTCTGGATACTTTGATATAATATGGGTACTAAATAAGGTAAATTGTTTCATACTTACAGAAATTTTCTTTTTCCTGATCATTATTCATGGCAGCATTTACTCATGAGTTAGCTCCTCCCCTCACAGCAGAAAGGACAGGAAATAGAACTCTGAAACTGGTATAAATAGATCCTCCCATACTTATACATGGTAGCACACAGCTACAACACTAATTAGGACTCTGAAAAATATTATGAAGAGACTATTTTTGTATGTTTGAGCCCCTTAGAGATCCTATTTAAATGACTCATTATTTAATGTAGGAGATGTAAATATTAGATTTAATTTATACATTTTGGTAATTTGTCCCTATTTTTTTTACTTTCTCATAAATAAATTGTATTTATTTAATTATCTAAATAATGTTTTTCTAGTTCCTGGAAATTCTTTCTATGCGAGGTGTACATCTCACCTAGGTTATGAAAGTGGCTTGGACCCAATCAAATCAAGTGGTTCCCCTCCTCTGTTCTATCAACTTCAACTAAATAATAAAACATTTAAAAAGGGTCTGCACACCTTGGGATGTGTTTGAAAACTGTGATATCCATTTTGTTTGTTTTATAACACCTGGTGATGTTTAACTCTTGTTCTTTTAGGAGTAAAAACGTCACCAGGCTTTATGACACCATAAAGGGACACCGCCATTTTTAAACGCATCCCAAAGTATTCAGAACTTTTTGTTACTATTTTGAATATTTTCTGGCTGTGGAAAGATCGGATGGGTCATTTTCACAATGTGTGGAAATAGAGGTGGGTGCCTCCTATTTTATATTCCTAGTTTTAACTAAACAGGCACGGCTGATGGGCAGGTCACCTTGATAAAGCAATATAGATGGAAAGCTCCAATTCATCTATAAATCAGTATACAAAATGTGTGTTTATGAATAAGTAAGGAAACACCGTAAACAATATTGCCTTTGTGAAAATCTTTCATCTCATCACATTTTACCTACCTACATTCCTCCAAACCTTTGCAATTTATTTAGTGTCACATCTAATATACTCTTGTTTAGAAATGTGATATTGTATATCAAGTCAAAACTTGCAATAACTTCAAAAATTTTGCTTTAATACTCAATTTTAAGCTAAGGCTATTTAGAAAACCATGTATTATTCATAAAAAAAATGTATACATTTTAATCACTCTTTAATACATACAGATCTAATTAATAGAGTTGGATTGAAAAATAACTCTGAATTGTCTGCTAGTTAACTCTTGGAATGATTCACCTATGCTAATAGTGCTTAGAAGATATTTCATGATGAACATATGGACTTAGAAAGATGTGCACGTGTCATGTTGGCCTGTCTTTTGAGTATAAAATCTTTACAATAGATAAGCCAGCATGGTGCAGGAACAAGACTTGCAGATCTCAGGAAACTCAAATAGGTTCAGATTAAATAATCTCTAACAGAAAAAAATCCGGTTAAAATGTTTTCACCATGTTCCGCAAAAGTAATTTGGCAGCATCATAGACGTAATAGAAATTAGAATTAGAACGTTAAAGATGACCTGTCACCCCACAAACTGCTCATGTTCTTTTTAAAGAGAATTTCATTTTATCTATACATGTAGCAAATGTATAGATTGGGAGAAAATAAAACTATGTAAACATATTTTTTTCCCTTCAAAGACAAAACTGTACACAAAATTAGACAAATTGTGCAGAGTTAAAGTTATCTATTGCATTGTTGCCTCTTCCTTTTTATCACCACCTCTGGCTCCTCCAACTATCTTTATCCATACTGCCATATGTTCATTGCTGAATGCTCCCCAATGATGCCCTCCCATGATTAACATGGTGATGTTACATTGTTGTGACTCACTGATGATCCAGTGTATTCGCACTCAAACTTGCAGTGCAGAGAACTAATTTAAGACGCATTTTAATTACTCTGTTAGCTCAAGATTGTCCAGTCTTCCCCTGTATCTAGTGGTGGTGAGTGAAATATTAAAACTGTAGAGACAGAATAACAAAGATAAACATGTTTTATGAGAGATTAAGTCTAATTTAACTTCCCCAAGATATCTAAATTTTGGGACCGGGTGGCAGTTTTTAATGTCCATGCAAAGTACTGACCCGAAACACAGAAACACTTACCAAACAAGCTTAATGGTAGAAAATCCACCTCAACATATAGTGTTTCTTATCAGTACAACACGTAAATAATACAATACCGCTAGGGAAGATTCTCGGTCTCAAGCCCTTCAAAGTTGAGATAGACCATACTAATAAACAGGGTCTCTAAGTTCTAAATTGTACATGTAAATAAAATCAGATGGGAAAGGTTCAACAATCTGGCAACCAATCAGTCTTAGATAATCACAGCTTGCCATAGTTTGGACGTTGACTGGTGAGTTGGGACTTTTTGGGGGTAGTATTTTAGAATTTGTTGAAGTATGCAGACTTTGATTTGAGAAATAGCATGTGTGTAAATAGATGATGCCTAATTACACAGTCCTCTATATTTTAAATATATTTTAAGTACTATGATAAGTTGTCTTTTACACCCTCTAAGTAACTTCATGGTAATAGCATTCCTTAAAGGACCACTATAGTGCCAGGAAAACATACTCGTTTTCCTGGCATTATAGTGCCCTGAGGGTGCCCCCACCCTCAGGGTCCCCCTCCCACCGGGCTCTGGGGAGAGGAAAGGGGTTAAAACTTACCTTTCTCCAGCGCCGGGCGGGAAGCTCTCGGCCTCTGATCCTCATCCTCTCCTCCCTTTTGGCTGAATGCGCACGCGCACGGTCTCATAGGAAAACATTTTCACAGTGAGAATCACGCAAGCGCCTCTAGTGGCTGTGAATGAGACAGCCACTAGAGGATTTGGAGGCTGGATTAACCCATTTATAAACATAGCAGTTTCTCTGAAACTGCTATGTTTATAAAAAAAAATGGGTTAACCCTAGCTGGACCTGGCACCCAGACCACTTCATTAAGCTGAAGTGGTCTGGGTGCCTAAAGTGGTCCTTTAATAGCAGAAAAAACATGTCACTGATTTGTAAAAAAAAATGGGTGAGAAATACATTATACACAATATCTTGTAGATTGAACAAATCAGTAGTTTTGAAAATCAGAACATCTGTTTGTTGCTATTGAACAAATAACATAGATACTTATTCAAAGATTCTGCCTCTATCAGAATGTACCAAAGACTCAATTTAAACTTGGTATAATTCTAAAGCACATACAGTTCTCTAGAAAATAAAATAAAAGCCCTTTACAGCAAAAAGTATTGGCAGTGTCATTAGCAGGAAATGAACACGCATCAGCTGCACAGATCTGTAAAGCAGTCAATTTGAAGCACATAAACACTATCATAAAACTACAGATTGACACCCAAAGCTTGGAATACACGGTATTTGGCTGACTTTCAGGAAAATGACTTTCAGAAAAATGTAGCTTAATACCAGATGGGTCTAGTGGGCACTGGACATGTCACAGCTTTCCAGAGATGCTCAAAATGTAACATTTAAAACCTAAAATGGCAACAATTTACTGAAACATGGTTCACTAACACTAAGCTAAACAAGTTTTTCCATAACAGCTGTGAATTTATCTTGCATTGAAAGCATGCCTTAAATAAGGCAAACTGTATTTAAAAACAAAGTGCTAACTGTTAAATGCATGTTTGATAGTCACAAGGAAGTAATATATAAGAGAGTTAAAAGTGTAAAAGAGTTCGTCAGCTTTTATAATTTTAGGCTGATTTGAACACAAGAAGAGCAACACTTGGCTGGCTCGCCAAATGATATTTACACTTCTCCGTGTCTGACTGTAGATGAGTCGAAATTGTTATCAACATCAGCAATCTTGGCCTAAATTATGCAATTCACTATAACTGAATATTTAGCCAATAAAATCCAATTTCTTGACTGTTTTGCGTAGACATGTAAATTGTATGCTTTAGGAGTCATATACATTTTTCTCAATATATAATCCTACTAACTGCTCACTTCATTTCAGAGTATACTCTCCATTTATTATTATTATTATTATTATTATTAATAATAAAAGTATAGAATACTCTGAAATGAAGTGAACAGTTAGAGGGATTATATATTGAGAAAGATGATCAATTTGTATCATGCTGAAATGTTTAATGGGGCTTCCATGGATGAGTTTACCAGCTATATTTATTTTTCAATAACAGTGGTTCCCAAATAACTGTTCATACATCCCAGTAGGCAAAGTTTTATCAGTGTCCCCTTTGAATAAAACTAGATTTGTAACTGTTTGGGATTCATAATACCATCATTGAAATGTCATAACGCCAAAACATCTGAACTACTATTTGTTACACATGATACAAGATTCACAAGAAGTCTGATTATTTTCATTAAATTCACAACCTTTTATTCTTGTAATAAAGTTAAGAAGCAGTTTATACGTGCATCCACCCCTACTTAACGCCAGATGCGACTAAGGTGTTGGTCCATTCCACTGTCCTTTCTCGCCTTGACTACTGTAATCCGCTTCTCAGTGGTCTTACGTGCTCCCAACTTGCACCGTTACAGTCCATAATGAATGTGGCGGCGAGGCTCATCTTCCTGTCCGCCTTCACCTCCCATGCCTCACCCTTCTGTCAGTCCCTACATTGGCTTCCTGTAAGATATAGAGCTCAATTTAAAATTCTGGTTCTTGCCTTCAAATCACCTATCTATCCTCCCTTATACACAAGTATGTCCCGTCTAGGCCCTTACGATCTGCTGAAGACTTACGTCTATCTTCTGTCTGTACTCCCACCTCTGATGCTCGCCTTCAAGATTTCTCGAGGGCTGCACCGTTCCTGTGGAACTCGCTTCCCTCCTCCATTAGATGCTCACCTAGTCTCCACTCCTTCAAAAGATCATTAAAAATCCACTTCTTCATAAAAGCATATCAATTAAACTGTTAATGGCTCCTGACTGATTCCTCTTCTGCAACTGTCACTAGTCTAATACTATCCTTACCTTTTTGTGTCATTTTACCCCACTCCCTCTAGCATGTAAGCTCATTGAGCAGGGCCCTCAACCCCTCTGTTCCTGTGTGTCCAACTTGTCTGGTTACAACTACATGTCTGTTCGTCCACCCATTGTAAAGCGCTGCGGAATTTGACGGCGCTCTATAAATATCATAATAATAATTAAAAAAATATAGCTTAGAAGGTGCAAGCTGGTACAGAAGCGGATAGCATAGTTCATTATTTATTATTAATTGTCGTCATGGATGCATAGCGTGTCTTGTTGCATTCTTATAAATACCTTGAATGTTACTTTAATTTCAGTGGTACTCTATATGCACTATACCCAACTCCAGGCTGGCTCACCAAATGAAACATCATACTTCTTCATGTCCAAAGCGTAGAATTATTCAAGATATAATTCAATCTTCCTAGAGGACAAATTCTCATATTAAAGGAAACCATGAGTGAAACAAAAAAACAATACTTAACTTGATAATATTAACTACTTCAGTAGAAGCACATTGTGATAAAAAATAGTAAAAATATATGCTTGTATAGCTATCATTATAAACATATCTTAACACAGCAATTTTGTGCATAGATTGCTTTGCAGAGAAATGTGAAAATTAGAATGATGTAAATTCAAATCATTTTAATGTTTTGCTTATTTGTTTAGACTGCATAAAAAATATTTGGTAAATGAAAAACTTTATACAGGGTCTGAAATTATAGTATAAAGGCAAAAAAAAATTATTTTATCTGTGCCTTATGATATCTTTTGACAGGGTTTAAGTTTCATTTAAATTCCAAATGGTCTTTATGAACATGTCAGAAAGGTTTTATCTCTTTATAAAATGCATATTTTTGGAGGGGTAGACTAGAGGGGAGTGTGACGGAGCCGTTTTCCATTTCCAATGGTCTCAAATTAAACTGGGTAAAAGAAACTGAAAAACTATCTGTTGGAACACTATAACTGCATATCACACACATCTGAGCATTTTCTTCCAAATGCTCAAAATATTGCATTTTGATTATAACGTGTTTGCTTCACATGCTGCGAGGATTTATACAAAACCCGTTAGGACAGAAGGTATCAACAGATGTTTATTTAAAACACTTTAAAGAAAGTAACACATAATAAAAAGCACTGAAGGTTAATTAGTGCTGTTTTTCAACTTGTTTATTCTCCTTATATTTTTTCAATTATAAAACGTTAATTATAAAAAACTAAATGTTTACAGTCAGGTGACAGAAATGTAGCAAATTGCTTGCTGTAGTAGTTATGGTGCCAGGAGTGTCCTAGCATCCCCACATTGTAAAGAGTCAAACCGTTTATGAATGGTCTGACATCTTACCTGGGTTGTGCAGGTCACCACTCCCTGTCTCAACTACCATCACCAGAAACTTGGAAGCTCCAATGCAGGAACTACCTTTGGATCTCCTGAGCTAGCCCCTGCAGTCTTATTTGTACTTGCATTACTCAAATTATAGTGTTGGTCAAAAAGGCATTTTGTTTGACAGCTGGCTTTCCTCACAAAGATATGGGCACTGGCTGTTTGCTAAAATTGTGAAGGTGTTTTACTTGAGTGTGGTCATTAGCATCAGAAAATTGGACTGGATTCCATGAGCTATAGATAGTTGTTGCAACATATCAGCCACCAGGTAACAAGAATCGTAGGTGTATTGCTGTTTCAGGATGAGAATTGGTATGCACGAGACCTGAATCCTGAGACTGCTCTCTATGGTCCCACTCCCTCAGTGCGCACCCCATGCATGTCCATCCTCTAGCTGAGCTACCTGGGACCAAGGATTCTACTTTCTGTTGGGAAATTCTTACGGAGCTACTTCAAAGAACATCTGAGGGTGACGTTGCATCCAACATGAAATTACTAAAAAAAAAAAATGCATCATAAAGGCCCCAGGACAGTCTAACCTGCAGAGCGAGTAATAAGAAAATAAGAAACAAGCGCAGAAACCTATACAAATGTCCTTACCGTGGGATGTCTCTTACCAACTAAATGAAGCATGATGTCAGGAGCTGACTAAACTCAAATACTGGACAGCATAGTGTTCTCTTTATTTACTTCAATTTATTATGAACAGTTTACTATGCAGATTGTATCTCTCGTCTTAAAGTCTATCGGTGAAATGTTTCAAATCATAGAACAACAGTTTGTTCTCCGAAGTGCGGGATAATTGCATCTAACTTCCCTTTTGCAGCACAACAGCAAATAAATGAATGTGCGTAGCAGACCATGGTTGGAATAGAAATTGTGAATTAATATTTAGTTACAACATCTTTAAGAAAATCTAAATTCTGAATCCACATGGATGCCTTACCAGAAAAGTCAAATTATTTGTAGGTATTTGCATTTATATTGCATATTACATGTTTGTATTTGATTTTGTATTTTGTTGTAGGTATTCCGTGTCCTATAATTATAGCTTGGGCTGTAGGAAAACTCTGCTATGAAAATGAACAGTAAGTATTTTACACAAAGCCCTTTCTGTCTGCTTTTATTATTTGGAATAATAAAGTTTGTTCTGTATTAGTCATTAATCGCAAAGTGGGAAATATTAATTATGTTTTTTCTTTCTGATACTTTAAAGAACTTACACAAATTAAAGTCATTCCTATTCTTTACCATATGATACTTTTTGTGATGTATTATCGGTTGTCAGTAGGGCATTGTGGGAAAACATTATTTAAAGGGTGAGTGAAACACCAAAGCCACTGCAGTTTAATACAGTCATTTTGGTGCATAGACCCTGTCTTACTGCTCAGTTTTCTGCTGTCTAGGTGTTCAATTGTTATATGTCTATAGTCCTAGCCACACCTTTCTGTTGTCAATTACACAGTCTTTTACATTTCCTGAAAGATATATCCATGGGTGGATTCTTCTTATCTTCCTGCTCAGAGTTGTGTAGCAGCTAATGCTGGCATAAAGCATTGCTCCTTGCCAGCAGCCACCTGTGTGAGATAAGATAAGAATCTCACACAAAGGCTGAAGAAAAGTTTGCAGTCTTGTAACCCCTTACAGCACAATAACATTATTGTGAGTAGTTTGTGTTTTTTTTTATAGTTTTTATAAGATTCAATATATATAATTTGTGCATGTTTTTATAGACTCCAAATGTGTTATTTTCACTAAACTGTTATTTGAGTAAGTTTATGTTCAAGAACAGACAGAAAATAAACATGCAGAATTAAAACATGATACCCATTGTGGACAAAATCCATAACTGAGGACAAACTCCAACAAGCGTTTCAGTGTGTAAGCACCTCTTTGTCAGGGGATTCAAAAGGCCACATATCGAGAGACAGCTTATATAGCAATCCCTATTATTAGCCATGTTTATAGCTACCAATCAGGTGAGGGCATGATTGGTGACGAAGGAGTGCTTACACACCGAAACATGCATCAGGCTTTCAAATATCTTTTTATAGTTTTTGGTAATCTCTCTCTATATATATACATATTTATTTTTATTTTTTTTATTTATCTATTTTTTTATTTTTAAAGCACAATTAACAGATTATTGATATATATCGTAACAGGTGCTGGATTGGAAAAGGACCAGTTAAATACATGGACTATATATATCAAGGTCCAGTCATCCTTGTACTACTTGTAAGTAAAGGTTTAGAATTAACACTTTATTGAATTCCATGTAATATGTTGTAGATATGTTTACTAGAAGTAAAAACACAACATGCGTGCCTACTTAAAGGAACACTATAGGGTCAGTAACACAAACGTATTCCTGACCCTATAGTGTTATAATCACCATTTAGGCAGCTTGCCCTCCCCCCCTTAGCCCTCTTAGAAGGGGTTAAAACATATCTTATTTTCAGCGCTGCGCAGGTCTGCCGATGCTGGCCATACCCCGATCCGGCTCCCTGGTGACATCATCAGAATTTACTATTTTTAGCTAATCCAACAGGGAAAGCATTGGATTGGCTGAAATTGCCAAGGAGGCGGAATGGAGGTGGGGCAAAACACTGTTTTGGCCAACCAGCACCTCCATATAGAGATGCATTGAGAAAATTTCAGCACTGCCCTAGGAAGCACCTTTAGTGGCCATCTGAGGAGTGTATTGGG